GGGGGGGGGGAGGGAAACAAGATGGGGTTTTGTGTCTGGCTACACACCCCCACCATGTTAAAATAGGGATAGGAAACTCTCTGCCAACTCTCCTGATTACCCACATTTTTGAGGATCTGATCTGGCCCCAGTCCCAATTAGATTGGATAAATGGGGTTCCACTGTATATTATTGTAGATTAGATTGTGATAGTATCCAAAATGTTCTATACACCCTCCAAATATAGAGCTAGACATAGTCCCTCCCCTGGAGAATTTGCAATCTTAAAAACAATTTCATCACTAGTAATTGCCATCCTTCCTTTTGTGTAATTTCAAGCTAAAATCAATGCAAGTGACTGGAGCAAAACTGTGTGTGTGCAAATAATGCAATCAATGTTGAAGACCTTACTTTAAATCTTAATCCCAAATGTATTTTGTTGTAAATTACAAATTAAACTGAGTTTAGTGGTTTTATCTTAGTTCTTCATATTGAATGTTTATTCCTGTTACAGAATGAACACACAAAGATCCTGATCCAATGCTCATTGAAGTGAATGAAAAGACTCCCATCCAATTCATATGCGCTTTCAACCACACTATAAAAACAAAAAGGATGTGGTGATATTTGCACAACCCATACCATACTGGGCGGGGGGAGTAGAGGTTGTGCATGGACACCATGGTTAAATCCATGGGGTGATATCAGACTTTACAAGCCCCGTGGTCCAAAGATGCTCATCCCAGTGTCCAAGGTAACATGGCCTAACAGCCAGATTCAGGGTAGCAGCCCTTCACTTACATGGCAGTGTGGCCTAACAACCCAAGTCAATAAACAGCCCTTCACTACAGGGCAGCAGCTCTAATAGCCAGTGTCTACATTGCAGCTCTTTGCAATGGAGCAGCTTGGCACAATAGCCAGTACCAAAAAGGCCACCAACAGGAAGCCTAGCAGCCCAAGTAGTGGGACCTAGATCCACTCAACTCTCTCAAGCCACAACGCAGGTCTCTGCCAATGTCAGCTCAGTACACCACTGACTCAGTAGGGAATCTCACCAAAACATGCTGAGCTCACCTGTGTGAATGATATCACTCATGCACCCTTCCTGGTCACTTCCTACAGTATGCAGTGGTGTGGCAGTCCTTGAAGATAGGGTCTCCAGGTTCCTCAGCGCAGGTTGCTTCCTCCTGCTCCAGCTGCTGTGGAGGCTTATTTCAGTCCTCCAGGTCTCCAGTTCTACCAACAGGTTCTGTGGCTGGTTCTCAGCTGGAGCTCCCACCAATATGTAATGTTTAAGACATAAGATACCTTAAATATAAATGTTTGAGTTCATTTCTTTCCTCTCCTGTGACCAGTCTCTGACTGAGCTAAATTGCTTCTTTTTATACTGGCCCAGCACTTCGAGCATGCTCAGTATGTTGGGAGGGGCGTGACACCCTCTGGCCACAGTGTTGTGCTAACCCCTTCCAGTCTAAGATGGGGTACGCACACCCCTTCAGAGATAATAATTTGCAAATAATTTGCAGATTAAAAAAAGTGCTCCTCTTTAGAAAATTTAGGCCCTCCAAAGAAGGATCACAGAGACTACCAGGTGTGACTTAAGGAACTAACCAATAACATGAATGACTGCTCATTTGGAACCAGATTCTGTCACCCCTAACTCCCACTACCTAATACAATACTCAGCAGGTGCTGCTCATAAAGGTATTATTCGATGTAAGTAAAATGTGGCTAAACATAGTTCTGGTTGCAAATAAGGAACAAATCAGTCTAAAGGACACCGTAGGCAATTATAATTCATGGATGGAAAAAAGGATTAAATTAATCAGTTAAATTATTCACTGTTAATATAACAGAGGTCTCTCACTGACCTCTAGTCAGAGGAGAGGCTCAGCGCTGGGCAGGGCTGGCCTTACCATGAGGCGAACTGAGGCAGCTGCCTCAGGTGCCAGACTGTGCAGGGAGCACCACTAAGATCCAGAGTGTAGAAAATTGTACTGCTGGTGCAGCGAGGGAGCATGGGGGTGTCATTTGAGCTCCCTGCCTCAGGTGCCAAAATGTTGTGGGCCAGCCCTGATGCTGGGAGGGCAAATGTTTCACAAGTTACAATTGAGGTGCATTGGCACTGCAAGTGTGAGCATGTTTGCAGAGTGCATGCCTATGCTAACTTTGAGACTAGCAATTTTTATCGCTGACTGTATTAATTTTAGAAACCCTGAAGTTTCTGATACTATATGCAATTTTGACCTGCAGTTACTGAAATTATCAAATATTAAAAGTGACAGCTCCATCTCACAGTTATCAAACATTTTAAAATAGACCTGAAACTGCTGAAGGAAACAACTTTTAAATTGCTGAGTTCTGTGCAAAAAAAAAAAAAAAAAGGGATGCTACATTTCAAAAATGTTTGAGTTCATTTTCCTCTGAAGACCTCAGACTTGGAATGCACATTTTAAGGAGTCTGAACTTTCAGTATGTGTGAGTGTCATCTTTTCACAAAGCCAAAATGCTTTAGCTAGGTTTGGTGACACTGAAAGTAACGAAAAATGGATTCAGCCAACAAATAATGAATGAAGTAATCATCCAGAAACGGGGAGGGAGGAAGTTCAGTGAAAGAAAAATAACAGTGCAATAGCTATTGTGTACATAAATCTCAGAATCATTTTGTATTTCAAGCAACGTTAGAGATGATATATAGCGTTTAAGACGTGTGATACTTTAAATATTAATTGCCACATCAGTCATATAACAAAGATAGATTCCCTCAGATCAGCATATGTATTACCAGAATCATTTGTAAGTTAATGGGATACTGCAGAGTGAGATATGGGTCTCTGCCTGATCTTTGTAACCCTTACAGAACATTTTGGGCAAGAAGAGGGGTTGGCATCTGTGCAAGGACTGAAGGACTTTCAAAGGGGTCAGGGCTCCAATAGCTAATAGGGATGTGGAACACTTGATTATCTTTGTGGATCTAGGAACAGCTGGGCCCCCAACCTCATCTTACAAGATAGGTGACTACAGTCAGAATGAAAAGCTGTAGGTATTTGCTGGGTATAAATGTTAACAGAACAAGGCCATGTTCCATCACATGCTTACTTATATGCTCCATATCGTCTGTATTTGGGCCACTTCCAAAAAAATTTCACCTCGGCTCACTCGAAGCACTTCTACAAACAAACTTCTGCAGCATTGCCTACAAAATCATGCCCAGACTCATAAAAATAATTAAACCAATACAATGTATGTTTGGGTAACCATACTGTTTTATTATAACCCATCTGCTTCCTCCTCTCTCCCTGGTGCATGTTATGATCCTCACTTGTCCACATTTGGTATGCAAGCTCCTTGGGGCAGCAACCTCACTTCTGTTTGTTGCTTGTGAAACGTATAGCACACTTGTGGAAACTATAAAAATGCCGGGGCCAGCCCCAGATGCAAACTAGTTAAAATATTACTTAAGTTTCATGGCTTTTTTATGCAAGGGGAGAGAAAATAGTCTATGCAGATGTCCTCTGCTGAACATCAGGTTGTTGGCAAGAGTGGAGCAGGAGAAAGAGAGAGAGCTCACACCATACCATTAATTACCTGGGATAGCTAAGTAGAGCTGCTGTCAGAGCCATTCCTGATTTACATGTGATTTTTAGCCCACTGAGCTCTTCATCTGAAATTTCCATCTATGGTCTTATTTTCCTTGTGCTCACTTTTATTTTCCTAAGAGATTCAGAACAGCAGTGTTTTTTCCACAGGGGAGAAACCCATCTCTTTGCTGCATGCTGCAGCTTTGCATACAATTTGGTGATTCGTCACCATGGACTTGATATTTAACATGCAGCAAATGAATGTGCTGTACACATGTACAAAGAGAAAGAAAACACTTTTGTTTCTCAGGGGATTATGCCTGAACTGAGTCAGTTTTTCTGGAGGTGCTTTGGGAAACAAGGGGGAAGTGTATGAAGTTTTAAATATCATACTTAATTACTCCTATGCCCAAGGGTATGTCTACACAGCAGCATTATTTCAAAATAACTTAGTCCACTTCTACACAGCAGGCAGTTATTTTGAAATGTTGAAATACTGTCAGGCTAGAGGAGTTCTTACTCTGACCCCTGTAACCCTCATTCAACAAGGAGTAAAGGAAATCAGAGGAAGAATGCTCTACTTTCAAATAAGTGCTGTGTAGACACTCCCAATTTTGAAATAAGCTATGTAATTGATGTAGCTCAATTTGCATAGCTTATTTCGAGTTAAGCCCTGCTGTGTAGATGCACTCAGAGATTTAATCTCTCTTCTTTCAGGCTTTGAAAAACACTTAAATTCACTCACAAACTCCATCTTAGTAATGCTTTCAAAGAAGAAGAACCCTGAGATAAATTCATCCCTGATATAATTGCAGTCAAGTCAATGGAGTTACACTACCAGAGTTTAACTTGACACTGTCTGTTTTTGCTAGAATTTTTCTCCATGGCCTCTTCCACTCACTTCCTGAGAAATTAGTTCAAATCTGGACTCATCAATGAGACTGGACTTTTTTTTATTGGCATGCAGAAACACTACACAGAGGTGATTAAGCTCAAATGCAGCAGTGTGAGTTTTAGGGATTTACCACATCATCAAAGCAGGTAATAATAAATAAAATTATATAAATATTCTAAAACACACTAATGTATGAACATTATATTTTATATTGTATCACCCTTTATAATTGCCTTACTAATTTTTGTAACTAATCCCTGTATAGATCTTGAACTGTCGTTCATGAACTGCAAAATCTACTATATATTTGGGAGAGAGAGAGAGTGTGTGCGTGTCCATATATCTGTCTGTCTGTTCAAGAACTACTCCTAAATAGTAAGAGCTAGGATCACCAAGTTCAGAATACACCTTCCTCTTATTATAACATAAAGCAAGGTAAGGTTTTGGCTGGGTTAGGAAAATAGTATGTGCCTGGAATAGAATTGCTTTCATGAAACCACATGAAGAGAGACACTCACCAGCAGGTGAAAATGGCTGGCCGGGGGGCACCCTCTCCCCATCCAGGGTTGGCCAAGTCCCAGGTACCCTTTAGCTGTAGCTGCTCTCCTCCCCCAATTGCTGTTTTCCTTCATTGGGGAGCGAAGGGAAAGTGCACAATTTCCTGCATTCCTCACTGACTGGGAAGCACAGGAGGCAGATGAACCTGGACCTGAGCCAGCCAGGGAACATGCACTCTCCCCCCACCCCGTCTGTGCCCACTGCAGCACTTATGGAGAGGTGCTTTTCACCTTTCACCAAGCTGCTGTGGTAAGAGAGGGCTGGGGTAGTATTCTCTCCACTAGGCAGCCTGCATATTGAACCCCTCATCCCCAGCCTCACCCCAGAGCAAGAATTTAAAAAAAAATAATTGAGTTAGGATTTAAATTTACATTGGGTAAATCATCTAACATATTAATAAGCAAAACTGCAGCTGCAAACTTATCAAGTGCTGTTCTTCTTACTATTTCTTTATCTATCAACATGTTATTTACAAATCCACTTGTGAATTTACGGTTAACATGTTTCCTTACTTCTGTTTTCTTTCATTGTTCACACAAGGCCTTCATGTTGCAGCAAGAAGGTGCTTGCTAACACTCAAAGGCCCAGTCCTTCAGTGTGAAGAGAAATGAATGTCAACTCCAATAGACCTGAAAACTGGAAAAAAAAAACACCTTTCATTTAAAATCCTAAATGCAATAGAACATGAGCTCTTGATTTGTAAGAGTGTGTGGATCATGACCTGGAAATTTTCTGTTCAGTTTAGTACACTCATCCCTGACTCTGCTCTGCTTTTTCAGTTTGCCAGGAAGCTGTATGGGAAGCCTTTCGGATCTTTTTGGATCGAATTCCTGATACAAATGAATATCAGAACTGGGTCACTGCCTGCCAGCGAGAAACCTTCTGTATATTTGACATTGGCAAAAACTTCAGCAACTCTCAGGAACATCTGGAGATAATTCAGCGGGTAAGAACAATTTAACTTTCTTTAGAAATGGGAAGATTTCCTAAATTCCACCCCTTAAATATCACGCATAAGATCAAAGGAATAATGTAGATAGGGGAGGGTGCACTGCAAAAAAATCAGCATTCACTGAGTAAAAAAAGTGGTGTTACCAATAAAGTAAATAGAACTAATAGGCTTCTGGTATTCCACTGAATACACCCACTAGTAAAAAAACCTTTTTTAATCTTTTTGCAGCGAGTAAAACATAGAACCTTCCAGGAAAGGTAAGTAAAGCAAATGTAGAGTACTCACCAGTTGATGCTACTGCCTTTTTGAAAAAGGTATGTGCAGATTTATGTGGGAGTGAGAGAATGCATGAATGTGCAGTAACCTGGTGTGCAGTGTATGTGTATATGTAAAACTGTACAATAACAGAGCCCCATATAATTAAGGCTGTGCAAAAGCCTTAGTTAATACCTTTCCTGGCTTAGTGTGACCAGAAGCTCAGACATGGCCAAAGCCTCTGTCAGAATAGCTGGCGTGAATGAGGGTGACTAACACATAGGTTCCACAGAATTCTCCCCAAAACCTTAATATTAAATTTAAAAAAAGATGGAGAAAAGGGTAATTCACTGGTGTGGGGAAAACTAAGACATTCCTTGATTGTAGAGGGTCTAATCACTTTTTGCTCCATTCTACAAGTGCAAATCCTCTTACATAATTAAGTTATGATTAGCTCAGTGTTAACTGATGTTCAGTTGCCCTGTAAATCCTACCATGCAGAGAACTGTCACTACACAGACATTAAGGCCTTTTTGACACTGGGAAATTCACTATTTAGCTATTTCAGAGGAACAGTTGTTTGTTTGTTTTCAAATTTAGCTTAATCTAGTTCTGGAATACATATTTTGCTAAATTTCTATTGGTGGACAAATATAGCAGTAGGAGAAACTTAGCCTATCCCCGTCCCAATGATCTCATGTGTCATCACTTGGGACCATTTGCAGACCAGCTATATTAAGCACAATTATTTATCTAGTTCCTTTTCTTTTTAATTAACTACCCTGTCTCTCTCTCAGAAATTAAAATGTAAAAACAATGTTAAATGGACACCAACTTAAGTATACAGGCAGTCCCCGGGTTACATACAAGATAGGGACTGTAGGTTTGTTCTTAAGTTGAATCTGTATGTAAGTCGGAACTGGCGTCCAGATTCAGCCGCTGCTGAAACTGATTAGTTTCAACAGTGGCTGAATCTGGACACCAGTTCCGACTTACATACAGATTCAACTTAAGATCTTTTCTTTTCTTTTCTTTTCTTTTCTTTTCTTTTCTTTTCTTTTCTTTTCTTTTCTTTTCTTTTCTTTTCTTTTCTTTTCTTTTCTTTTCTTTTCTTTTCTTTTCTTTTCTTTTCTTTTCTTTTCTTTTCTTTTCTTTTCTTTTCTTTTCTTTTCTTTTCTTTTCTTTTCTTTTCTTTTCTTTTCTTTTCTTTTCTTTTCTTTTCTTTTCTTTTCTTTTCTTTTCTTTTCTTTTCTTTTCTTTTCTTTTCTTTTCTTTTCTTTTCTTTTCTTTTCTTTTCTTTTCTTTTCTTTTCTTTTCTTTTCTTTTCTTTTCTTTTCTTTTCTTTTCTTTTCTTTTCTTTTCTTTTCTTTTCTTTTCTGATCAATATTATTGTCCAGCACAGCTACAAAGCTTGGTATGTACCTTGGGTCTGTTGTACCTGACATTCTGATCTGGTAGCATTTTGCATAGATGTTAATGACAACATAATGTGTAGGACAAAGTTCCATGAATTTATCTAAAACATTCAGAGATTCTAGCCCTATAAAGATAAACTTTGATCTACTCTTAGGCCATGTCTACACAAGGAAATTATTTCAAAATTAGTAAATTTGATTTAATTCCCAATTTAACAAATTAAAACTAGCATGTCCACATTACAGAAAAGACTTGAAATTAGTCCAAGGCAGGCTTTGTTAATGTGGATGCCCTACCTTGGACTTAGAGCCCTCAGGAAGCAGTGGAGAGTAATTACAGGCAGTCCCCAAGTTACGCGGATCCGACTTATGTCGGATCCGCAGTTACGAACGGGGCACTTCCTCTCCCTGGTCTCCAGCAGACCAGGGAGAGGAAGCAAAGCGGCGGAACGCGCGGCCAGCTGACAGCCCAGACGCGTCTGGGCTGTCAGCTGGCCGCGCGTTCCGCCGCTTTGCTTCCTCTCCCTGGTCTGCTGGAGACCAGGGAGAGGAAGTGCCCCGTTCGTAACTGCGGATCCGACATAAGTCGGATCCGCGTAACTCGGGGACTGCCTGTAGTTTGAAACTTACTTAAACAGTTCCCCATGTTAAACTTACTCAAATCCCCCTGACAATATTTGAGATTTTCAGTACTCAAATTCTTATTTTTAAAAAGTTTCTTTCCTGTTGCAATGTAAAAGGATAAAGAACATGATGGCTATGATTAATTAACTTACTATATGAAATGTGCTGTCAAATGCAACAGAAAACAAATTAGAATTTTTTCTCATTGAATCACTTTAAAATTACTCTGTCTTTATAATGTAACAGTAAAAGTAATATTTTAAAAGTTCACGTTTTCCCTTTAATATGACATTAAAGTTATACAGTCATTGACTTTTTAAATACAAACCAGGATATGCAAAATTTAAAACTCTAACATAGCAACATGCAATGTGGCTGAGTTCATATATGTAGCATTTTGCATTTCTATTTTTCTGAATTATTGTGTAGCTGAATATATTCTAATAACATATTATTTGTATGTTGCAGTTGAGTTCACATTGCTGTTGGAATCTTAAGCTTTGCACATTTTTTCTGATTTTAACTGTTTAACCTTAATTTTTCACTAGTATTCCTTTGCTATATAGTGTAGATATAGAGATCATATATTTGCTGTATGCATATAAACATGCCTTGCATGAAATCCTGGTCACACTGAAGTCAGTGTCAAAATTCTTATTGACTTCAAGAGGAGCCAAAATTTTTACTCCTTGCATATGCATATTTTTAATGAATGGTTTATATTTTATTAGAGATACCTTTATTGTGTGTATATGTGAAAATTGGCATTTTTCAGTAAGACAATATTTATTCCAATAGTGACTTTTCTTCATTTAATAAAAAAATTAATTTCTTGGTTTGCATGCTATAGTGATTTGGAACTCCTTCTTCCAGGATCCAAAAATTGTTAAATAATTCAGTAGAAGCCACGGGGGAAGGGGAGGAGGAGGAGATGTTTTATGTCATATTCTGAAAAGATAGCCCATCAACCTCAGCTTCCAATCAGCTAAAATAAAATGATGGTAGATACTTACCATCCTATCTAATAAATGCAATTGTATATGCTTGATGGACAATAGACCATGCCCAAAACTCCAAGAGAATTATGTATGGTACATGAATACTAAAAATATGTAGGGAAGAGAGAAAAGGGTCAAACCTGTCTTAAAACTCCCCAGAAGAATTTATACATTTGTAGAAATCTAGACTTCAATTTCAGGTATCTCACTACTATTGTGTATTCATTCACTCATTCGTTCATATTAAAAAACTCTCGGTACCCAATGCTCTGCTTCACAATAATAGCTTTAATCCATTGAAATTCCATTAAAGTCAATGACTTACACTCACATAAAACTAGTGTAACAAAATAGATCAGGCTCTATATGTTAAGAGAACATTAGGCCTTCAGGATAAAACCCTCACAAGACTGAAAATGACAAAATTAAAGTTGCATGCTTAATTCTGCCCCCTTGTATGTAAATATTACGGTACTATTTTAATCATGTGATTATCTGTCAAATTACCACAATATAATTTCATACAATTGTTTGTAGAACTCTAGGTATCCTGTGTAATAAGCTGTAATTTTTTTTTCATTCTTATAAACTACATTGTTATCATTGTCACAATGATCTCATCTGTCATTAGTGACTTTGACTTGACAGTTCTGAGTTTTCTGCTTTCTTAGGTATCTATTTTAATAATTTAAGACGTTGTTAAATTCCCAGTTCATATCAGTGCAAACTAGAGTCGTCAGTCAGCAGGCAAGAAGTATACAAGGGCTGAAGTGACTAATTATGAAGCTAATTTCCAATGCTCTCATGAACAGCACAAATTTCCTTATATACAGTTCAGAGGATGAGGCAGATAAAAATGAAGTTATTTGTATTTTAGCTAAACAATTTTAGCTAAAAATGTAGATGGCTCTGATTCTATGCAATTAGACTTATTCTTTATTACTGAATTGTTTGAAGGAATGATTTCATGTACGTTTCAGCGACGCTGCCAAGTACAGATTAGTAATTCATGCTTAAATATACTACATGTTATTATCTAAAGTTGTAGAAAAATATGGTAATTATATTCAGTTGCTGCCAAACACAATGTGCAGAGAATGTGGCAAAAGATGCACTGTCCACCTGCTCTACATTTTTCATGGTATAACTAAGTTAGCTATTTGGGCATATGCAGCATGACCTGCCTAGGCTGCATGTGCTGAGATTTTAATGTTTTCATCATTAACAAAATACTTTGCATATGTAATATATTTTCTCTCAGATCAGTTTTTGCCAGAACACTCCGCTCATAGGCATTTCCTCAAAAAAAAAATCTATTTTCCCTCTAATCTAATGTATTCAATAGTGAAGTCACATGACGTGACAGTCGCCAACCTTCTAGCCAATGTGTATTGGACATATGGCTGGCACAGGATGTCATACTTCTCTTTTAGTTGAAAGGGTACCAGCAATTCAAAGCCCATGTGAGGCATTTACTCCTCTTTCCAGGGATAAGTGTATAAGTATTAGTTTGGGGAAAGACAACTATTAAATTCAGATGTCCAGTTTGGTAGTGCAAAAAACTGCCTCCGTGTCCAGAGATTATTTTAAATATCCATAACGTAAGAAGGGCCATTGATAAGAATCAATAGATAACATTCAGGCAGCCAGAAGGCAGAGCTGGATTCAGCCAGGACCTTGTGTTCATAAGTCCTGGTCATGAACAGATCTGGTGCAACATCAATGTGCCATTCCTATGTCTGAAGAAATGATGGGGTCAAACCTGCAAAGTTCAGATCTGGATTTGAATCTAAACTTGCTCAACGTTCTGGGGCATCTGGTTTAAGGCCCATTATAGAGAGGCCTGTGATGATGTGATCCAGATCGGACCCCAGATTTTCCTATAATTCAGCCTGGCTGTGATCACGAGATCTGGTTTAAGACCATTACCAGTTTAAAGGGGATCATTGTTGGCCATCTTGCTGCCAGTGATCTGACAACTGATTCTCACTTATATCTCCTCCTTAATTATTCAGGAAAAATAAAGAGGATTAGTATAGTAGAGCCCAGTGGCTCCAAGATTAAAAGATGACAATATGAAAGATCCTTAATATCATGACCAGCAAGAGAGAAATATTTGATTTAGAGAATATTCACAGTGATTGATCTGAGGCCCTATCCAATTCTGACTTAAGTTGCAAATATCTTATAATAGTTTCTTAGTGACAGAAGGAGTGCAAAGCAAAGGGGAGAGAAATGTAAGTTCTATAAGTTCCCAAATAAAAAAGCAATTGATTGCTCCACTGCTGTGTTTAGATAGTCAGAATCAAAATGTTACATTAAAATAACTACTATAATTTAAAAACTGCATTTAAGATAGAAGCCAAAATTTCATTATATTTCTGATAATAATGGCACTACAATCATGCTGGCCATTAAATCATTCATGTCTATTTGATTAATAGGAAAGATGAAATATCTACAGAAAAGACAGGTGGCAAAAAGCACGAGGACATTTCTTCCCTTTCTACAGGTAAAACTGAAACTGCTAGTCCATTAGCACAATTGCTTGAAACAATTACTGTTAGAGTTTAGGAGACTGTAATTTGGTGACTGCAACAAAAGTAAAAAATGTTCAGTTACATACAGGCAAAAAACAGTGTCTTAGCAAAATAGAGTATATTAGAATTTTTGTATATCATACTTTGCCACTGAGACAAAGTTACCGACTCTAAGGATACATCTACAGAGCAGCGTTATTTCAGAATAACGGACATTATTCTGAAATAATATTGAGTGTCTACACAACAAGCTCATTCTTTCAAAATAAATTCAAAATAAGTGGCTTCTTACTCTAACTTCTGTAAACCTCATTGTACTAGGAGTAAGAGAAAGAGTGCTCTTTTTCAAAATAAGTGCTGTGTAGATGTGCCCAAATTTGAAATAAGCTATTTTGATTTAAGCTACACAATTAGCATAACTCAACTTGTGTCGCTTATTTCAAGTTTAGCCCTGCTGTGTTAGTACCCTAACTTGATTTCTCACATTATTTTCCATTCTTAGGGTGCACTTCAACAAATGTAACCTTTTGATTTGAGTTGCACCAAATAAGGTGACTGCTAATTTTGTTTCACTGATAAAATAATGGTTGGGGTTAAAGCTGTTGCATTTTGATAGCCAAAATCAGCATACTAAGATATTCCAAAATAATTTTTTATTTTCAAAGTATTTAGCTAGAAAGTCATATTGATATAAGCATATTAATTTCAGTTTTTATTTAAAAGTTGTGGCAGGAAAGACTATTAGCAGGTGTGATATATAAACCTTAATGTGTTTTTCATATTATGTGTTGGTACATATTGAAAATAAAACCTGTAAACACTAGTAATTTATTGTAATAAGTGGACCATCATCTTTATTAATTTGTGTATTATATAAATCTATTAAAAGTGACTTTAACCAAGGTGTTTGTAATATTATATATAATTTGCTTCCAATGGGGAAAAAAATCAAGGGTTTTTTTATCTCCAGAGTTTCTTGTTACTTGAAATTGAGCCCTAAAAAAAGATATTAGTTAGTCAGGGTTCAGCGGAATAGATGCACCTGCCTCAGTTTTCCTTTTTCAAAATCCGCAATAACTCCACACTAAGCTCTTTGTCTCAATAACACCTCTCCTCAAAACTTGGTGTAATATAATCCATAACAAAAGATGCAGAACATAGTCCATTTATCACACTCGGTGCACGTAGTCCCTAAAAAACCACGACATGTTGATACCCTCTCTACCTTTTGCCACCCTCTACCTTCATACCCATCACACTCCTGCATCTTCTGCCAGACCTGGATCTTTGTGGGTCCTCTCTTGTTCTCCCAGGACAACCACCCTCACCCTTCCAGCTAGAATGCAAGCCTACTCCTCCCAGCT